ATATCCAATCTTGATCGTATTCATGATAATGGATATTTACATCGAGATCTACATCCGGGAAATATCTTGTTAAAAGAAGATTACAAAGCATATATTACCGATCTAGGTTTATCAAAACCACTTGATGAGAAAGAACATGAAGATCAAATTCATGGTGTCTTGCCTTACATTGCTCCTAAACTTTTTCAAAGAGAAGCGTATACTCAAGCAACAGATATTTATTCATTTAGAATCATCATGGTAGAAATAACATCTGGATAGTGACCTTTTGATAGTCATAAATTTGATGAAATTCTTGTGTTTATGATTAGTGAAGGATTGCGACCAAAATTTGGAATTGGAACACCTAATCATTATGTTGAATTAGCAAATCGATATATAGATTCAGATCCAGAAAAACAGCCAACTACTAATGAAATTATTACTAAATTAAATAAATGGTTGAAAATTTTGAATAGAGGTGAATGGTTGAATTTTTTGAATGAAAATTCTGAAAATAAATTTTAAAAGCAGTTTTTAGAAAGTGATAAGATTAACAAAATTTTACAGTAATTAAAAAAAAGCTAAAAAATAAATATACCAGCAAACCATTTAACACTTTGGAAATTAGTGAAAGATTATCAAAACTAAATCTTAGTAAATCTGCTGGTATAAAAATTCCAGATGATATTTAACGAATATTTGTTTTTTATTCTTTTTAATATTTTTTTGATATTATAGGATAATTTATATTATTTAAATTATTTTTTTATAAAAAAATAATTATATTTGCAAAATATAAAATTTCAAAGTTGTCGAAAAGTATAAGTACAATTGATTATGTGATTGGAAGAATGCCAGCATGCCAAAGGTGCCGGAAATAAATTCAATTAAAGGACTTTAAGTCCGCAGAATAATGTATTGTGAGTAATTTGAACTGAAACGATGATATGCTCTTGGGAAAATTAGTGAGATTGTGCCCTTGTACGTATATTTAGATTTTAAAAAGCCAATTACAAAAATTATAAATAGCAAATAAGCTATTAGCATCTATATTTAATGCCGAAGATGTTTATTGGCTTGACACAGTTTGTATATTTAGGTTTTAAAAAGCCAATTACAGAAATTTTATAATTGAAGATCTGAAAACAATGTATGTATATATATACCTCTTATTAATAATTTTTATTATCTGTGCTAATTTATTAATAAAAAGTCTTTAATTGATATCGATATACAGAAATATGTGGAATAATCTTAATTGTGCTAATTTACTTAATTGATCAATTATTTCTTAAGTTACTTATTAAAATTGATACAATTGTATGTTTTAAATTTTAGTCTTATATAAATATAAATGTAGAAGCCAGTGGCGCCCTTACTTACACTTGCTACCGTTTCTCATCTTTTATTAGTTTCGTACCCTTTGCAGTTCATTAGTTTTGTCATCTTTCATTTGAAATTTTAATTGATGAAATACGAAACTAGGTTTTACATTTTATCAGCACAAAACCTCAAGGTTTCGTCTAACAACTATAGGGCTCAGGTTTCGACTTTCATCATCAAGCAAAAATAGCTTCGTCTAACAGCTATAGATGCGCATAGGCGTTATTTTGAGTTAAATATGCCATTTTAAAAAAATTAAAATTTCGAAATATCGCCCATGTTGTTATTACATGCCTAAACGGTATATATAAAGCTGCTTAAAGAAAAACTTTATTGATATATTCAAATTCATATAATAATAACAACTGCTAGATGATATAATTATACACATAATTTTATTCAAGAATCTTTGACCAAAATTATTCCAATATGGTTAGCTAATTTGAATTTTAAGGATCCAATTAAAGTCTCAAATAATAACCTATTATTGTAGGATATATGTAGCGTGAACATATATGTATATAAATATTTTCAATTCTATGAAATGAAAATTTTATACATAACAAGCTGTAAAGTGTAAAATCTTATATCAGTTCAGTGTGGAAGCATTAACACTCTAGTTCATTATAAAGAAAGTTGATGCAATTCAAAGAAAAAAACTTTTATTTTTCGTATATCATATGTGTGCATATATTTTGCAGTATGCAAGTGAATATTTTCATAAAGCTTTTTTAATTTATAGTTTCTAAATTATGATAATACATTTGAATTAAATTTCTTTTGAACTATGTCAACTTTCTTTATAATGAACTAGAGAGTTAACACTTATTACACTGAACTAATATGAGATTTAACCTTACAGCTTGTTATGTATAAAACATTCATTTATAGAATTAACTACATATAATACTAAAGTATAAGATTTATATGTCAAAATAGATAAGATTTCATGTAGTTAATTATTATTACATATAAAAAAATATATTAAATTGTTAAGAGATCGATTTAATTTTGTAGCAAAGTCATTTATAATATTAAAACAATATCTTTACAACATTGTATCAAAATTGTAACAACTTTTTAAACTTTATCATAATGATATAAATACAACTTCTTTACAACATAGATACTATATCACAAATATATTAAAGTAATTTTGTAACAACTTTGATACTTAAATTGTTAAGAAGTTGTAACAAACTTATAATTATATTAAAATAATTTTGAATAAATATTATTATAATTTTGAAATAACTTTGTTACAGTGATACTTAATAAGATAGATATAATTAATATACAATTTTTATACGATATTTACACAATTAAGATACAATATCGAAATAAAGTAGTAACTATAAGGTATGAAAATAAATCGTAAATTCATTGTAATAGCTAAGTAACTATTTTAAAACAACCTAGTAACTATCTTGTTACAAAACTTGAGGTTTCTCTAAAAAAATTTATAGATATAATATTAGTTGGGCCCAAAAGAAGACATGTATTTAAAAAGGTGCTGCATTTAGGGGGTCTGACTATACAATGTATTATCAGTAGTACAGTAAAATGCTATCTATTAAATGTAACCTATTTAAAACTTACTAATTTTATTCACTTTTAATAATATAATATTAAAAGCTTTATCTACTTTTAAATGTAACCTTTTGGCCAAATATAACATCTTTGTAAAAAAAGTAACCTTTTTAGCCAAAATTTCAATATAACCTCTATATATATTGTTCAGGGTCTTGTTTAATCTATCTTAAAAATATAGATAGTAAAAATCAATTTTACTAATACAGTTATATAGCTGTCTGCTACTGATCTGCAGATCGAGTTTATTACTAATCTAAGATAGTGTATAGTCACATGTATATTCTTATATAAACCTTTTTTTATTGGCTTTTTACAATTTTAAACTGCATCATTTTTTTCTTTCTGAATTCTATTATGTCTTTATCACCAAAGCTATGGGAGAAGACTACTGCTACAAAAACCACAACTACTACAACTACTACTCAATTACCAGAAACAAATTTATCTTTTTCACAAAGCTCTACAGCAGATATTATATCTGCTCTTCCTGCAAGGCCTTTAACGACTAGTTCGAATTTTACAAGAAATATCTTTGCTTCATTACTTTTTTATTTAAAGTCTTTATTTAATAATATGTTATTTATTTTGACAATTAATATGTTATCAAGGCTATAATTCTTATGCCTCAAGTTATAATACTCTATACATACGTTATGGTACTTATGGTAATACCTATAGATCTCTTTATAATTATTATAGTTTATATTCTTTTTCTTATTCACCATATAACCGTTATGGTTATGGTACTTATAGTGGTTATGGCAATAATAGTAAATAATCTAGTCATTTGCAAATTTTTCAAATAACCTCAAATAACCTCAAAATGACTAGTTATTATCAGTTATCTTAATTTTGGGTCATTTGAAAATGACTTGTAATCAAATAACTATGGTTATTTAGAAATAACCAGGGTTATTTAAGGATCATTTAGTTTATTAGTTTGAAATAGGTAGGTATTTGTATACTCAAGCCCAAGCTTAATAAAAATTTTTATACCTGACCCAACCCATGAATAGTAAAGCTTAATAAAAATAATCCGGTCATTTGATCGAGATTTAAATGACCCAAATTATCAAATCATGACAAGGTCATTAAGCTTATTTATATAGGTTATTTGCATATAAAATAATTTTATTGGTTAAATTGTTCATTAAAAAGTTATCAAACTTTATTTCATTTCTAATTGATATATACATATTAAAGTCAAAGTCAATTAATATTTATAAATTGACTTTTTAATTTTCATATAAATATAAAGCACAGAAATGAATTAATAAAATTTCTTTGGTTTATATGAAAATTTATTATTTCGGACAGCTTTATTTAAGATATAAATATTAATTACTTAGTAAAAAATTTGACTTTAATATATAGCTACAATTATCGATTATATTTTGTTTGATAGCAAATTCTGATTGGCTAAATGGCAATAAAATATCAATTAATATATGTTAAATAACTCTCTAGGTCATTTGGGCCCCAATGAATAGTTATTTGTCATTTGGGTCATTTGGATCATTTTAGATCATTTACTATCACTAGGTTATAGTAATAGCTTCTATGCTTCTTACAGTCTCTACTATCATTTTAATGTGCATGAAGGAATAATAGGTTCAAATAGTCCAAATGGCTCTGATAATTTATTCTTAACTCAAAAAGATAGAAGCAAATACTGCTACTAGCTTTCAAATAATTGAATCAATAGTAAATGCTTTTAGTGAATTTGCTTAAATATTAGAATCTATTTATTTTGCCACTTATTCTTTATTTATGGCTATAGTTAGTGTTATCAAACAATTTAGAAATTTATACAATTATTTAGACCAAGCTTTGAGTATTTTTACACTGATATATTAGATATATCATTTATTTTACAAAATAACAGATAGGAGATTACCCATAGATTCTCAAGAATTGAATCCAATACAATTTAAACAATTTCAAGAAAGAAAAAAATTTTCTTATTGTTTATTAATTTTTTTTGTATTTGCTATTTTTGGTGTTCCATATTTAATGCATAAATTTATTCAAGTTATATCATAATGGTAACAAAAAAATTAGTAGTAATCTACAGCAAGTTAACTCTCGACTGAATATTCCTAAACAACTAACTTCTAGGTTTGCTCAGAATCTTGAATTTTGTAGAGCTCTTTATAATTTCAAAAGTGAATCTTCAATAGAATTGAGTCTAAAATACAGTGATATTATTGCAATTCTGAGTAAAAATAATACATTTGGCCAACTATCTTAATAGTAGCAAGATCGTTTGAGGAATGGTAAATAAAGAATATTTCCTTCAAATTATAGAGATAATTAATAAAGGTGGTGGTAGCTTGGAAGGTACTGAGAATGTTGAGGAATTGAAAATAAATTAAAAATTATCTTAAAAACTAATTTATCAAATTCATTATGGATTGCTTAAATTTTCTTTTTATTCTAAATTCTATAAATTATTTTTTTTTTATTTTTTTTATTTTTTTAAATTATAAGGATGTAGCACTTGTACTTAGACTTTATTTAATACTTAAATGATTGACATATGGGCTGCCGTCAATAGAAATCAGGCAGATCTACATTTGAAAAAAAATCAATGCCTTAAATTTCACAGCTCATATCTCGATAAATTTTAAAGATACCTTGATGCTTTATTATTTAAAATAAAGCTTAGATCGTAAGCTTTCTTTTAAATATTAAAACATTATGATAGCTTTAAAATTCATCGATATATGAGCTGTTAAAGTTAAGGCATTAATTTTTTTTCAAATGTAGATCTGCCTGATTTCTATTGACGGCAGCCCATATGATAGTGCCAATATATATACATATTATATCAAGTACTAAGACTAGAATATCAGATATACAAACTATTTATTCATAGCTAAAACTCACCAGAGCTGACCATATCTTTATTATATAGCTGATCTGCTAATTAGTATTCACATATCCATTACAGTCAGACTTCTATAAATGCAACCTCTTTAAATACACATTCTATAAAAAACCTCCATAAATGCACAGACTTGCTGTGTTTCTACTATATATACACTTATAGATTTTTACCTTTCTAAATGCAATGCCTCTATAAATACAAAATTTTTAAAATTTTTATATGGTCTGTACAAATTGCATTTAGAGAGGGTTGACTATACATTACCTACAACCCTTTTATTTTTAATTTCCAAATTGGTGTATATCAGGTAGGCACTTATTGCTTCTGGTTTGGTATGCCTGGCAGAGCAATTTCTCCCTCAATCCTTACTTGGTGTACTTTTTAAGAGTTCATATCTCAAGCCATGCAGCTGCCTTTACTCAAATGAGTAAGTATCTCAAGCCTGCATGCTGCTACAACTATCTGGTTTCTTGTGACTTTTAGGACCCAAACCTTAATATATCCAATTAGGTCTGTGCTAATAACTGTACTTCCCAATATAGTGATGAGGCTGCTTAGACATGTTTCGCAAATGCTTTTAGTAGTCAGTATAGTTGGATAGTATTATGAGGCTCAGAGGTAACAGGTGTGCTATTATTTCCTTTTATAGTGATTCTCAGCAGTTGTAGCCTCTAGTTACTGCTATATATACTTATACCAGCTATATCTATATTGGTGGTCCTGAGTCTTCTTAATGCCAAAGGCTCCTATACAGATATGACCAGAGCCTGTTAGACCTATCAACATATACATGCCTCTATGCTTTAACTTTTTATTAGCCAGTAAGTTCTATATGTGCCAGAAATGTTTCAAGTCTGATAAGGCCAATTCTTTATTATAGGTCTCTTTGTGTTCACCACATTTCTCACCACTTTCCAATTCTGGTTACCACTTAATCATTCTCCCAATGCCGCCTTAGAGGTTGTTGGTGCTACTTTGCCAATTGTGAATTTATACATACAACCTTTGTATAATCCCTTAATTTGTATTGCAGGCAAATTTGTCTGCAAACTTTTTTAAAGGTTTAATTTTTTTAATAAAATCTTAAATATTAATTTTAGCTATTTATTTTCTAAATAATATATTTAATAGATTTGTTTTATAAACTTTGTTAAGAAAATTTTTTAAAATTATTAAAAAACTTTAATATAATAAAAGTTTAAAGTTCTTGTATTAGAATTTTTACTATAAAATTTTTTCTTTAACCTTTTTTAACTTTTATATGTTTTCGCCTTTAAAAAAAATCCTTACTCTTAAGACAAGTTTTAATTTTTATAAGTAAATTACTAAAAGTGCAATAATAAAAGTTGTAATTCTATCTGTAATCTCGGTCATACCATCTAGTAATGGGAGCTTTGGCACAATAAATCCGAGGAACTGGAATAACTGAAAACCTGTTTGGCAAGTTCTGAGTTAAAATGTAGTAATAATCTTCGATGGTATTACAAAAGGGCTGAATTCAAACTGGGGCCCAAAATCGGAGAACTAAGCAACCAGGTTCTATGGTGGAGGACACATCAGCTGAATTGCCAGGTTGTCGCACTGGAGGAAAAGAGTATATACTCCGAAAGTATAGACCAAGAGGAAAGTGTTCTTCAGACACCTAAAGCCTGGGCAAACCAACTCATCCGAGTTGTTAGCTGGAAGTAAAGGAGGAACCAATAGAGAATCCAGGTAAGGAGATAGTTCCAAATGCAGGTACTGGGGTTGTTTGAATCCTTATAAGGGCAGTGAGTACGTAATAGGTAACTAATTAGAAAGGTTGTGCTTAAGATATGGATCAGGTTATAGCAGCACCCCAAAAGTTGGCTTGAGATACAAACCCGGTGGCAGCAGTACAATATATACTAGTTAGATAAGAAGTTACCAAACATGCAAGTAAATACATGTGAGAGACATGGACCACTCTGTTAGGTTTATCTTGTGGATAGACTAGCTTTAGATGGTTAGTAAGTTCTAAGGTGGGTGCGAAATCTACAGGTGCCGCAAAAGCTACAACCGAATAGTGAGTTACACCTTGGTTAGGTAGAAGTAACCAACAGTTAGGACCAAAGAGTTTAAATAGGTACCCCTAGTTGGGGTGCAGGTATGGCAAATAGTGAACCTTCAGGCGGACTACTTAAATTAGACACTCAAAAGATGCATATGTGGCTTGATACTCTTGTTGTAATTGTATAACATTATATCTA